TAATGGTCAAACCTTAACCGTGTGAGAAGAGGCCTTTGCTCAGCAGTGGGCACTTATGGGCTGGTGATGATGATGATATAAGTGTGGAAGAGCCATGCTTCGTCACGACTACGCTGTCTCGACCGGGGTGATACTACGGCCTTACAGAATACCGACGTGACACAACCCTTCCGTTGCTGTTTTTTATGGAATAGGAGGCAAACGAGCAGACGGATCACCTGATGGCAAGCAATCGGCGCCGCCCATGGACATCCGCAACACCAGAGAAGTCACAGGTGCGTTGCCGGCCTTTTGGGGATAGGGGTTGCGAATATAAGGATCGGGGAGGGATAGGGGAAGGGGCGGGATTGGGCCTCCGGTAACCTCACTCACACGGCGAAACTCAACACTGTGGGTGGTTTCACACTGGTTTTCTGTGAGGCCTTGGTATAACTCCGGTCGAGCCGACCCATTCGTGCCGAAGCTTGGCTCTCCCACATTTGTTTGTCAGTCCGAAACTCTTAACCACCACCACGACACTTATTTATACCTATTTTCGTCAAATAAACGCTGGCTTTACAGTTTTCTTAAATTCGTCCAGGAGCTAAGAAATATTTTAGACTGCCATCTTTAAAAAATTAAATAAGAAAACAAACATTTATTTAATTTCTAAATCCGCCATATTTCATAGCTTTGACGTAAGCCTTTGATAATATTTCAAATAGATTTTGCAAATGGCTTAACGCATTTGATAAATTTAAATTTGTCTTTCTCTAATATAATTTTGTTTATTTAGGGCTGATTTTTCAATAGTCAGATAAATGTTATCTGAGGAATAAAATTGTGGCTTTTACTGTCTTATACTAAACATTCTGATGCGACAGCATCATAACTATTCCCCAGATAACTTTTATCTAACCATTGAAAAATCAGCACTTAAACGTAATATTTATTAAAATAAATTATAAACATCATATCGGTTACTTTTTTGTTCCACATTCGATTTTTTTATTTTATTAATAATTAAGTTTCTTTTGATATCAATGTGCCTTTAAGTATTTTTTTAAATAAATGTTATGTTATGTTCTGTGGATTCTTTTTTTTTTGATAATTGCTAAACGTGGTCTAGGGTGAACGTGGGTGAGGTCGCGGTGGCCCCGAGGTGGGTTCGAAACCTGGCAAGTAGCAATGTGTTTTTTCCGAGTTATAAGTACTTTCTATGATTATTTAGACACCACTGACATACAGTGAAGGTAAACATCGTGTTTGAAATCGCCAACCCGTAATGAGCAAGCGTGGTGATGAATAAATGCTCAAACCTTCTCTGTGTGAGAAGAGTCCTTTGCTCAGCAGTGGGCACTTATAAGCTGATGATGATAAACTGGTAAAAAAAAATGAAGAAAATATTGTATACTTAATGATTGCTTGTGTATTTAGCTTGTAATGAAAATAATGAACGAACCATATATATTTTATTAGTATCACGGAAGAAAATATCTATTTAGGTAATTTATGTGAGAGGATGACAATTCGCTCAGAATTATTGGACTTTTTAAGAGCCCATAAATTTGGACAGAGTAATTCAGTCAATCAAGTTTATTACTGTCTGTCTTTTTATATTACGTTACTTAGATTTAGAACTGCATTTGTATTTTAGATATTAATTTAATTTTAATTTCTATTTTTAAATTAAATTTAAATCATAAATTTAGAGACGTTATTATTATTGTTACATATATATAATGTCACTACATGGTAAATTTTACGTAGATGCTAATACAGAAAAAGAAAAAAATAATAATTTACATGTTAGTCCCATATTCCTTCGAGTGGGCACGGCGGAGGAAGCGATGTCTCAACCGGCCTGCTTATACTGACAGTTCAATGAACGAGGTTTTGGTACCCATCGACATTCTTTATCACCATCGAGTTAAGCTTCAAATTTATTTACTATATTAGTCTAGTAAAAGCAATGAGAGGGTTTCTATTAGCGAATGGTTTGTAAAAGAGCAAAATTAAATAGATCATTTGATTAATAGTAAGTGCTAAACAGTGAGCCATCTTCTAAGAAACAGTTCGTTTAGTTCTTGAAGTCTTAAAGTCGTATCTGGAATGCTGAAGACGAAAGTTCGTAAAGTTCGTTCCACAGTGTGTCTGTGCGAGGTAGAAAGTTTTTTTTATAAACGTTGCCCCACACTAGGATTTTCTCCTGTGTTGTGGGTGGGGTTACAAACGTTCAATTTCACATACACAGGACACCTATACCCGGATCAGCCGGGGTTGCGGGGTAAGCGCAATTAGGCACCGCGACCTCGGCCCAGAGCAGGAGAAGGAACAGGGGGTTTTGGTCAGTAAGAGTCTGACACTCCCTCCTGCCCGGCCCTGGGTGGGAGAAGTCATTTGATGATTTTCCCCTCACAAAGAAAAACCTATACCCGGAACAACAATTTGTGGGTCTCATAAAGAGTTGTTACGTCTTGAATCGAACCCACGACACGTTGCACAGCAGCCAGTTGCCAAGCTACCGCACCAACTGTGCTGTCAAGTTTCACAAAAAACTCACGATAGTGGTCTGCCAACCACCTCTATGATGGGATCCATTCACAGTATTATCGCTTGACACGCAAGCATAAGTGGTAGAAGAATTGATTCTCGAAGCCGTTAAATTATTCATATACGCCTCTGTCTGCCCCTTTGGGTACTGCATGCGTGATGATGTTGTACAGAACGTAATAAAAGGATTGGTCATAATGTATGTTAGGGGTTGATGGATAACAAATGTAGGGGTTGGTTGCCACCTATGGGAAATCAGGGCTTATTCCCTGGGAATAAGATAAGTAATGTTTTTTACCTCTAAAATAGAGCCTGATTACTCAAGATGCAGTTTTGTTATTTAACGAATTTGATTACCTTATTGGTTGATTCCTATCACCAGCACCGAGTGGCCACTGCAGACTAAAATTCTCATACATCACCTTGTTTGTATAAATTAGTAAACCAATTCCCGAAGAATTTTTTTACGTTTTTAATTTACTTAAACGTTTTCTTTAATATGTGGGTTTCTGCCCTTCTGTGTAGTGTGTGCCAGATAATTATTTTTCTTTCTGAGATGGCGCTGTACTTTTGCTACTAAAAGAAAGCTAGAGAAAGAAAAGAAAACATTTATTTTCGCGCAAGCGCACACACATAAAACAAAAATACAAAAAAAGAAAATAGAGAAATAAGAGAAAATAAAATAATACTAAAAATCTAAACTAAATGATACATATAAAAATTAAATGACTTAAAAAAATTTATAACAAAACTACTAACGCTGAATTGCGGTTTTAAGATTCACTCTCACGTGGAAATACGAGAAACTATAAGGGTAGCCCGATACGCTCTTGGCCGGTTTTTATTTAACATAAATCATGAATATGATAAAACAATTTATACTTATTTACAATTTGTTGGAAGTCGGCGTGCTTACAACTACTTTTCCAATGAGGCCGTGGTTCTAGCATTGGACCCTGAAATGAATGCGCCAGCGTTACAGCCGAATCATGCCGATTCATGCCGAATAGCCTCGAACTCAAATACAGGGTGGTGCGCGTCCATTAACTTTTTGTGCCCGCCATTATACCGTCGAATGTTTTCCGGCGCTGTATAAGTATTAATGTTAACACCCACCCTGTATAATGGGTAATCTTTTTTGAATACTTATTTTTAAGGGTCAGGACGCCATGGCAAAATATTTTTCGGTTTAAAAAAATATGGTTGTTTTTGGTACATTTCAAGGAGCTTCAATTTTATTAAATTTAATATTGTATTCATTATTGTACATTAATTATGATTATTTGTACTTGAAGATATTTTTAGTGAGGGTGAAATCATCAAATGTCTTCTCCCGCCCAGGGTTGGACGGGAGGGAGTGTTAGGCTCTTACTGACTAAAAGCTACCCCGTTCCTTCTTCTGCTCTGGGCCGTGGTGACTCAATGCGCTTACCCCGCAACCGTTTACCACAAATAATAGATATTTGGCTTTTGGTTTTTCATTTTAACACATAAGAAATCACTGTTATTTTCGAAACTGATATTTATGTTATAGGTAAAGGTTTTAAAAATACCCAATAACACATTTATCTTTTTCAAAAGTTTCGTCAGCAAATATGGAGTTGACTGAACTACCAACAAACTGGCTGAAATTTTTTTTTTTCTAAAATGTTGGCAATGGTTTCCATACCAAATGCATATAAAAATTGTTTCTTATGAAGTGTCGAGCCACCGAAAATAATTCATAGACAACATAGAACTGACGACAATAATTATATTCTTAACTAGCTGCTCTCGCACGGTTTCACCCACTGCTCGGCTCCATTTGATTGTAGCGTGAGGTTTTATAGTCTCTTAGCTTCCGCCCGCGGCTTCGCCCGCGTCAAATTAGTTTTTGTCAACCCTGGTCCCTTATGTCTAAGAGACTCTTACAGGGGCCAGCCCAGGAGTACCATTTGGTACCATGTGGAATTTGAAAACGGTACCCCTCTTGCTCATTGCTAAACATAAGCGGGTACTGTAGTGCGTCATAAAACTTGTGTGTGTCGGACACCCTAATCAATGTGTTATCATGGGTTTGAAAAACAATATCGCGCGTTGCGAACTGTTCACCACACACCATGGCAGCGACTTCGTTTATTAAGGGTGCATTATAACGTCTTTCATGTTCCCCGCTTGGCTTACGATCTGCAAGTATTACTAATTTGTGATTTTCCCGTGGCATTTTTTCTAAGGCTGTTTTGAAGGTGTTAATGAGGTTATTATGTTGGTGCAACATTCTTTGAATTTTTAAAACAATGTCCCTCTCATCTCTTTCAATATATTGACATTAACGGTCAACCTCGCTGTTTTCGTCTCCCATGAAATAAATCTGTAGAAATTTTGGTTGATCATTGTTTGTGGAAAGCAAAAATCCTATGATAAACTTGCCCTTGTACCGTAAATATGGGTGAAAATCCAGGCATGATGACAGGAAAAATCGCCGAGATTCATTGCTGTCCTTTCTTCTGTCGTTGCTCCTCGGGGTCACCAAGCGTTGGTACTGATACTTTGCCTCCAGGACAGCACATACCTAGGGTCTCTTCCTTCCACTTGAGTGCCTCACAGTGTCTGCATTTATTGGCCATTCTTCCTATGAGGACTAATCGATGATTAAAGAAATCAAGTAACAGATCATAATCAAAAGCAGCATCGGCAAATGCCTCCCACGTATTCATCGTAAACGTACGTCTCCTTTGCCGCTCGGCATTAATTAAACGTCGTCTACGTGTTTCTTCGGAGGTCTCTGCGGCTATGTACGAAGCTTGATGCTCAGCATCTAAGATTTGGCGAGCTTGGGTGTGTTGAGAAGTCTCAGCAGCAGCAGCTCTTTGATCCGCGTGACGCTCGGCATCAATGATTTGGCGAGGTTGGGACTGTTGAGAGGTCTCAGCAGCTCTTTGAGCCGCGTGACGCTCGGCATCAATGGCTTGGCGAGCTTGGGTCTGTCGAGAAGTCTCATTCCAGTGATCTGGCAAGTTTAGCAGCCCGAGCTCTGCTAGAGCTTTTAGCTAAATTGGACTTTCGTTTGCGAGGCATCGTAGAACAACAAAAATGAAATTAATAGAACAAAACAGATGTACAGATTAAGATTTATTATATTAAAAAACCTTTGTTCACCCTACCTGCACCTACTTGAATAAGTACTTATTTACAACCATTGCAAAAGTAGGATGCTATTAGATTAATTGAATAAAAAAAGGAAATAAAAGCAAATCGTATTTATTTAAAGTAACGGAAACTATCTTACCTACTTGTAACGTTGTAACTATGAACTAAAAGAAATATAAGTATGTGCAAAATTTATTTACAGGATTTAATTAGGTAATAAAAAACACTTAAAAGTTATAGACGAAACAATAAAATAATTTTACTGGATCGAAAAATGTAATTCTCTAAAGCGCAAATTTCTCTTATCGCACCCGACAACGACCTCTGTCCTCACGTGTCTGTCCGTTCGGGTAGACATAGTTAGATTCGTGCGCTTCCCCACCACACGACAGCGCCGCGCTGCACTTCGGCGAATGTGCGCGACGCCGACGGCAGCGACGGCGATGCAGAGTGTTCATTAAAAGGAATTTATACTTCGGAAGTGAACTATTTTGTAACTTGATACACCCAAAACCCTTCTAAATTACATGTTCCTAGGTTCAATAGTTAAGATTTCGTATACCTACATAAAGGTTGGCTTTGTAGATCCCGTTCCGAATCCGTTCCGGGCTTATCTTCAATTCATCCCCTATTTCACTACATATCACACTGATACAATTTTCAAAATGGTAGTACAAACGATTTTTTGTTTCTTATGACGTGATATTTGACGAAATTGCATACTAACTTTCAACCCTTAATTCACCCCCTAGCTGGTCGAAATTTCAAAAATGCTAGAACAAATATTTCATATTTTCTTATCAAGTGCTTAAATATTAAGTTTTATGGTTTTATCTTTAAAAAATAAGAAATCCCATACAAACTTTTAACCCCTATTTCAACCCCTTTATCCCTGTTTTTCGAAAAAAAAAGAAGCCTATGTTCTGTCTCAGGGTCTAAAGATTGTCTGTACCAAATTTCATTAAAATCGGTTGCGAGGTTTAAGCGGGAAAGCGTAACAGACAGACAGACAAGACAGACAGACAGAGTTACTTTCGCATTTATAATATTATAGTTAGGATTAGGATTAGGATAGCACTCAGGAACATTGTAGCTATTTATCAGTGAAATAATTTTGGCAATCCGACCAGCGGTTCCAAAGATTACGCCCTACATAATAACTTACAAACTTACAAATACCTCTTTATAATATTATAGTACAGATATGCTAAATGGCATCTTAACAGCAACAATTTTTAACAACATTTTAAGGCCATATTGGAAAGCAAACTTTTTTGAATGTTTTAATTTTAGAAATTAATTTACTATTTATTGAATACATACAATTATGTGAATTAATAGAAATAAATAAGCTTTTGCTTGGCGACCTATTATATTAAAAAAAGTGTTCTTCTCAGTTAATTCACACGAGTAAGTATAATAGTTATCTACAGTACAAAATTGTTTAATATTATTTCGGAGCTAGGAATTTTATAATTAATTCTATTTAACAAAAAATTTAAGAAATATCAAGTTAACGGATAACGGGCTACAGTCACTTTTTCATGTTATCCTTGGACGAATAGTTAAACGGAGGTAGCCTATAACCCAACTCTAGACTCAAGCCAGTTCGAAATCAGACTAACTATTCGGCTCAACATTATCGTTAACTACAAATAAAGTAAAATTTAAAACTTTATTTAATTTTCAGCCACACACGTACATTTGCGGGCTTTTCTAAAAAATAGTCAGTCAGTCATTCAGGTGGTCAGAGAAACTAGGTGCTGGTTTAAAATTGTATTTCCATATGGGGAAGAACAAGCAAGAAATTCAACTCTGAACAAATAATGAAAAGAAACAGTTGTCGAACCCCGTTCTTTTTAAACGTACCTTTTAACATATTTAACGAGGGCTAGGAGAGGAAAGGGTAAAAGGCCAGTTAGCGTGTACGTGAGAAAAATCTTACATGCGTTTACGAACTAAATTACTGCTAGTAAAGAAATGGATGGGGTAATACAAGCTTCGGTTGTAAGGCACTGTATCTAATTTAGGTCAAATAAGCTCAATTTTATTTCAATACTAGCTTTTGCTCGCTGCTTTGTTCACGTCGAATAGTGACTTCCTGCAGATTTTTGGTTTAAAAACTATCCTATGTCCTTTCTCAAGTTCCAAACTATGCCTGTAGCAAATTTCACACAAATAGGTTCAGTAGTTTAGGCGTGAAGACAAGACAGACAGAGTTACTTTCGCGTTTATAATATTAGATTGGATAGACCGCATTTTTTGACCTGAAGAAGTGAGTGTCATCATCATCAGAAAACGAAGAAATGAAATTATGCTGTGATATCGTTGTGGTTCTGTGTGAATGAGGTCACCAAACATCCAAAACTCCCCCTATCCCTAATCCCCAAAACCCCTATCCTTAAACTTTTAAGTAAAGTTTTAAGATTTTTTGTAATGGGCAGGCATTTGGCCGCTATCTGACCTGGATGATGCGACCTGTGATTGAGCATAAGCAACCTATTCCTATATATATATATCTATCATTAAAAGTGAAACTTTCTGGACTGTTCTCTATTTTTTTCGTCAGATTATTTTATACATTACTTGATCTGTTATAAACACGAGTCTTCAATTGTTTACCTGTCCATATCCAGGTTAAAAACATCTTGAACACAAAATGCGCGAAATGGAAAGACAGTTACGGAAATCCATTAGCGGTAACAGTGAAGTGGCACTCCGGTCCGTAACGTTATCGTCCCGGATACGTGTCGTGACGCGCCCGCCCGGCCCGGCCGCGTGACGGTTAAACGGCTCTTTCGTTCCAATTATGAATGATTCGATTTTAATGCATTTCAATCGGTTTATGGTAAAAGGTATTTTTTTCATAATTATAAGTAGCTTAATCTTTTATTATATTTTTTTTGGTAATTTATTTTCGCCCAATTATTACCCTGAAGCTGGGAATTTCTGATAGCAAAATAAGACGGCGGTATTTGATCCAAAATAAATTGTAGTTGAGGCTGCTTTGTTAATGCACTTAAGTCAGGGAAAAATATCAAAATTAACGTTTAAAAAAATACAAGAAACGATTGTAGCTACACTAAAGAGGTTTTATTGCTATCGTACAAACAAATTAGACAATATAGCCCATTGTTCTTGCTTCTAAAATAAAATATTTCGATTAAGATTCTATTTTCTTTTATAATTAGTTGGTTAATTGGTTTCCTGTCGTGGCCGTACTTCGATATCCCGCCGCCTTCATTAGTGCTCGTTTCAATTCCGTTCATGTATGCTGAGGCCAATCATTGAGTTTCGGGTGTGGCGTAAGATGTAAGCTTTGCTATTATGCGTAATGAAATTTGCTCGTTCTTCTCCATCGGAATCTACACTTTGGAACGAGCAAATAAATAGCTTTACTAAGGAGATTGACGGACAGACGGACACTATATCTTCAAAATTTTGTTTGACGTTAATTTCTTATACAATACTCTTTTATAACCCTCAAATTGCGTTGTTTCACCCGACGACCTTTCTTCCCATCCCTAATCTCTAAACCACCAATTTTCATATGCCTAACAACCTACAAAAGGTCGGAAACGCACTTGTAACTCCTTAGGAATTGCTGGTGTCTATGAGCAGCACCTAATGCTTACCATTAAGTGATATGACAGCTCGCCCTATTCCACAAAAAATCTGCTGTTAAAATTTACATATATGTGGAGTGAATTTTGAGTGATAGGGAACGTATGAATGAGCAGGAAGAAATGTCTGAACTACTATGAACGATGAAGTGTGAATAAGAATAAATAAGAAGAGGGATAAAACAAAAGAAGTAAGACTTTTTTGTTTATTTCATAATGTCTAAATTTAAGAGGCAATAAACCAGAATTCTTGTATTATATTGCTTTTATTTTGCCACTAAAACCCACACATATTACAGCGAAAGTTAAAAAAAATATAGTTACAATAAAGACGCAGCTACATCGTCCAAACTTATTCCAACTAATATTATAAATGCGAAAGGAACTCTGTCAATCTGTCTGTATGTCTGTCTTTTCTTCACGCCTAAACTGCTGAACCGATTTCTGTGAAATTTGGTACAGATATAGTTTGGAACTAGTGAAAGGACATAGGCTAGTTTTTATACCAAAAATCTGCAGGAAGTCACTTTTCCACCGTGCACGCGAACGGAGTCGCGGGAAAAAGCTAGTCGAAAATAAGAGTCCCGTTATGAATAGAGACTAGTAGATCTCTTCTTCGTTAATACACGTACGTCTTATGTCTGTATGTCTGTCTTTTCTTCACGCCTAAACTGCTGAACCGATTTCTGTGAAATTTGGTACAGACATAGTTTGGAACTCGAGAAAGGACATGGGATAGTTTTTATACCAAAAATCTGCAGGAAGTCACTTTTCCACCGTGCACGCGGGCAAAATCTAGTCGTAAATAAGACTCCCGTTATGAATAGAGACTAGTAGATCTCTTCTTCGTTAATTAATACACGTACATCTTACAATAGTTATTATTCAAAAGCAGTTAAATATAAAATCGCTTTAAGATTATATTATGTGCCATTGAAACACAGCCCTAATGGGGCCAAACACAACCATACATTTTAATTCCTTGCGTGTTTTTCCTTTTAAATCACGAATTGAAGTGTGTTTTTTATTTAAGTCCATTACGTTCATTTAAACTCATCCGATTGAGGAGAAAATTGTAAAGAGAGCAGGCTTTTTTGCGGGGGAAGATTTCATATAACTATTCTTGCCCAGGGTAAGGCGAGGGGGACTGTCTCTCTCTCTCTCTTACTAGCTATAAACCACGCCTTTCTTTCTCTTGCTCTAGATCTGCAGTCTTATTGCGCTTGACCCACAGACTCCGCTGAACATCTACCAAGTATGGTGTTTAATCTCTGTAGTCTAATAGCTATGGTGGCAAGCTATCCTTGCTCGACGTCTATAGACTTGTGTTTACGGGTTCATAGACTGGCGCTTACTGTGGCCGTGAGAAACATAGTTCCCTCACGCTACTTCTTTACGACAAGTAGAAAGAGGTAACGCCTTCTCAGTTCCTCTCGCTCCGTATTTTGGCCTCGAGGCAGAGGTCACAGCCGGCGAACATGTCGTACTGTAAACTGACGCTTTTGGGGTGTTTCGTGTGTTGGAAACATATGCAGAATTAGAGGATTAGCTAAGCTCCCAGCGTGGTTTGAAGCTAGTCCAGTTATCTTAATAATACGCCGTTGACAATTGACAAAATGTATTAGGCAATTTGATGTGTCTCTGAACTTATAGGTAATACACGTTTACATATACGTTTATCTATCATGCAACTAACGAGATTGAGTGCATCTTGGTAGAAAGAAATTTGATTTCTATTTTTTTTTACTTTTTCCAATATTTGACTGACTTTATATAAATTAAAATATATTAAATAATTATAAAGAGAGTAGACTTTTGCAGTGTTATTTTAAGTTAACAGTTTAATATACATATATTATGATAATTGCAATATATTTTTGTAAATATGTTTCTCAATACCAAATCCAAGGTCGATTGTATTGTCATTGTCGATTGTAACAAAAAGCAAAAATGAAAGACAAACATTCCGGTGTTAGCCTGAGTGGATGAGATTGATCCCGTTGTGCGGGAAATCGAATCCGGGGGCTTAATGTAAGCGGGATGCCACATCACTAGCTGTTCTGCTTTTAAATGGTTTAATATTGTAGTCTGTGGAACATTTCTATTACAAAACGAAAAAGGTTATGTATTTTCTTATATAGGTACTTACATCAATCGCTAACTTAGTTTTCTTATGCAATATGACGGCAAACTAGTAGATGGATTTAGCTGATGGTAAGCAATCAGCACCAACCTTGGACGCCTGCAAAACCAGAGGAGTTACGAGTTACGTTAGGGACCTTTTAAGGATTAGGGATTTGGAGATTTAGGGATTCGAGAAGGATTGGGATAGGGAAAGAACTCGACCTCCGGTAACCTCATTTACACGGTGAAACACAAAGCTGTGTTTGTTTCACGCCAGTTTTACGTAAGGCTGTGGTATTACTCCGGTCGAGCCGACCTAGTCGAGCCGAAGCATGGCTCTCCCACACTTGAAGTAACATGTATAATTAATTATTATGATTTCGGCTTACTCACGTAGGTAACTGTTTTGACGAGATACTCGACTAGTTTCAAGCCATGCTAGAAGCTCATATTTATGAACAGCATTCCGCGACACGCGACGCGGCGACTGTCGCGCTGCTACTGACGTTTACGTGAGTAAGCCGAAATCATAATAATTAATTTAGTATGTCTCACGAAAGTTATAATAATAACATATATAATTCTAGCTTTGGTATAAAGTAGTTATATAATATTTCATACATTTACATCTCCATCCTGACATACGGTTAAGGAAAATAGTGAGGATTTTTTATTGGCCATAAACCTTCAAAATTTCTCTCCTCCCTAGATAGGTCGGGAAGAATTCTTAGACTCTTACTGACTTAAAACTGCTCCGTTCCTCGTCCTGCTCCAGATCGAAGTACTTACACCCGCAGCGCAACTCGACGAAACCTTTTTGTGTGGAGGAAGATCATGATAATTTCTCTTACCCATGGTATGGCGAGAGGGAGTGTCAGACTTTTTCTGACTAAAAACCCTCCGTTCCTTCTCGTCCACCAGGTTAAAGCCGTGGTACCTTGTTACCCCAGGCAACCTGGACTTATATTTTCTAATTCAGAGTTTGCATACAACAATTCGTCTTGAACAATTGTGGTGATTTCTTTTTATTATAACTTTCGTGAGACATTCTAAATTAATTATTATGTTTTCGGCTTACTCACGTAATAATTTGACGAGATACTCGACTAGTTTCAAGCCACTCTAGAGGCCCATATTCATGAGCAGCATTCCGCGACACGCGACTCGGCCACTGTCGCGCTGCTACTGGCTACTCGAGTCTGTGCGTGATTAATGTTCACACCTTTCCAGTGAAAGAAGAGGACATTAGTCAAAAATGGGCAAATGCTGATAAATACAACTATCAATTATAGTAATTCGATAGCGATTTTATATGGTAATAGTGGTAATATAATTATTACAAACATATTAAGCGCAATTATTGACCGCGTTACATACTAATTACAATATTGAATGGACCGCACTGTAATGGATGCAATTATATTAATGGTGTACACTAATTCCATAGGGGTGCTCCCAAGTTGGAATATCGATAACGGAATATTTTGTTTGTATAATAAATCGATTCTAAATTCAAGTGTTAGTATTTTTGATGCGATGGAAAGGCAAACGAGCAGGCGGGTTACCATTCTTACGGATCGATGCCGCTCATAAACCTTGGGATTTTTTGGTTTCGGTGATATAGGGATTGGGGAGGGGAAGAATTGGGCCATCAGTAACCTTATCACACGGCGAAACTCAACGCTGTGGTTGTATCACTCCAGTCGGGCGACTCATACGTGCCAAAGTATGGGTCCCATGGACTAGTAGAAATTAGTATAACTATAATATCTTGCCTATGTAGTAAAAGTTTAGTGTAAAAATAAAAGTGGGTTTCGGGTTCCCATGTCACTAAAAATACTCCAGAGTAAATGTTACGTAACATTTCGTATTATGAATTTCAGTTTGAACATCCCGATTATGACTGACTATCGATAATTTCCTATTTCCTAAATGGCGAGCCCCCATCCTTAATTAAATAGATAATTATAGATTTCCAATCTAGGTAAGTCTTATCTATTAAAATGTCCAGCTACGCTTGGCTACGCTTCGTAGCGCACGTAGCCGATCGTAGTGCTACGAGAATTGAAGGTAGAAAGTAACTTAGCAATTAATTGTCATTTTGGAATCGTTTCTTTTGGTAATGTGTAACACTATTATTTCTTCAATAGGAATTAAAACAAAAATTGTCAAAGATGATATTGCGTTCGGTAACCTGATTCACAGAACAAAGCAAACACCACGCAAGCGTTGTTTCACGTTCATTTTTACGGAGGCCGTTGGTATTCTTCTTCTCTCTTCAGTTTCTTGACTGTCGAAAAGGTGCTGGCTCAGACGGTATTCCTCCTATTTTTATCCCCATGTGCGCCTCTTCTATGACAAATCCTCTGTTGCTTTATGTATAATCGATCTCTTGCACATACCCTAACGTTGGGAAAGTAAATCCATAGACCAATTTTTATCCTGTTTATCTTTGCCAAGGTTTTCGAATCTTTGATTTGCCAATGTATACAGTCACACTTGAGACTATCTAAGTATCTTCCAGCATGGTTTTGTAAGTTCTAGGTCTAAGTCCAAGTAGGACTTATTTGGAAGCTTCTACTGAGACTTTAGTGGCCGCTATTATAATGCTGAACAGGTGGTTGTCATATTATATAGACTTTAGAAGAGCCTTAGATAGTGTCTCCCATAACAAACTCCTACAAAAGTTGTCTGCATTTAGCATCACTGGCTGTCTTCATAACTAGTTAAAGTTTTACAATAAAATCTATTATTAATAATACACTGAAGAATCTAATCTACTACCTACTAAAAGATGAAAAAATAATCACACCATTTTTTGTAAAAACACCACAAAAAATGAACTCAACAATCTTAAAAATAAAATTTCAATATCGATACAAGTTCTTTCATATATTTTAAAGCGGTTCTGAGTTTTCAAATCACTGTTTTGCATGTAAAAGGCGGCGTCATGCAATATGCTCGTGAAAATGCAATCTTAGACTCAGGCTCTCGATTCTTAGGAATAATACCGATTTTAGGGTCCAGTTTCCAGTAGTTTGTCGAAATATATTTATGTAACTATTTTGTGAATTATTTTACCTAAATTGTTCGGTGAAAGTTTTATTTCGAATGTGTTATGGTAGTTTTGATATTTATTCTAGTACTTTTCTTTTTTTGTAGGAGAATTTATAGAAAAAGATATTTGTTTGAGTCAGTGACGTGGAGAGGTGGTGGTACATAGAATTTACTCCAGGTCCACGTAGGTACTGAAGTGAATGGTCTAATAACCTATTCATACTTATAAGCATCTCAATATAGACTAAATGTATTGTTATAATACCTTTAATAAAAATATTTTTTATTTTACGTGTTCAATGTCACTGCTCTTGTTAAATGGAGATTTATAACTGTATTGTACAATATTCACCGTATCTCGCAAACGGCTCCAACAATAATGATGCAATTTTGTTTGGTATAGCTTAGTCATCTAGGTACTTTTTACGCAAGCTTCTTTCAGTTAACAGCATCTATGGTGTTACGAAATTGTTATCACTACGATTAGAGTTGCAAGAAAAAGTGATCCAAGTCGTCGGAACCCACGCCGCTAAACTTCAATATTTTTTAATCTGTTATTTTTTTTCTTCATTCAAAAAACAGTCACTGTTGCCGTTCGCGTTGTGGCTTCGACAAAACTCTGCAAAAAAAATCTAGCGAAAATTTTGTTGTTTCGTTATCATTGTTAAAAAAAACAATTTTTTTTTTCACAAGTTTTCTACCGTTTGAAGAAAATATTGCTAAAGAATTTTCATGGAGTCCTGGCGAAAGGGTCAAATACTTTCGCCTAATGTTTTTGTTTTTCGCTTTCCTGGTATGTGTACGACTTTTTGGTGTTCTGAATTTGTATATTTAAATCATCTTATGTATTTATTTAGTTTCCTGTACTAAGTAGGTAATTAATTATGTTTTATCGTCTTAAAGTTGACTTAATTACACTATTTAAATATTTATAGTGGGCAGGCTATTTCATGGTGATGTTTCAAAACCAGGCAAGTACCAATATGACTTTTTCCGACTTATATATACTTTCTATGATTATTTAGACACCTACCATACGGTGAAGGAAAACTTCATGAGGAAACCTGAACCTATAGTTCTAACTATAAGTTTAAAAGCAATCCGGCTTGAACAAGCGTGGTGGAATCAAAATTCGGACTCGTTATAGCTCACATTAACCCCATAATTTTGTGAAGTAGAGACCCCTCATCCGACTTAAAGAACCTAACTAGAGATTGATCGAGCTCATAATTTCTCATTGACTCCGCCACGGTAAAATATTTTACGAAAAAGGTAACCTTTAGATAAAGTTGACTTTATTCGAATTTTTTGTATTAGTCGCGTTTTAACGGTGGGTACTATGCGGAACCCTTATAAATTCGCCTTCTAAATACGACGGATTGCCTTGTAAAAAAGTTTGCTGTTGTATGTACTTTTATTGAAATAACTGAAAAGGTGCTCCTCCTCCTCCTCGCGTCGGTTTCCTCAGTGCTGAGGGTCGTGACCACCTCGTGGAAGCAGTGTATTGCGTATTACTCTCCGCCATCTATTTCTATCTGCCGCCGAGTGGAGAGCATCGTGGACTGTAGTGTTGAGAGTGGTGCGAATCTGATCCGTCCAGCGTATCGGACTTCTGCCTCTAGGTCTCTAGGTCAAAAGGTGCTAAGGGGATGCTTTTACTCTATTTATGGAAGGGTTTTAAGTTGTGTGGAGAGCCATGCTTCAGCACGAATGGGTCGGCTCGACCGGAGTGATACCATGGCCTCACAGAAAACCGGCGTGAAACACAGCGTTGTGTTTCGCCGTGTGAGTGAGGTTACAGGCGGCCCAATATGTCCCCTCCCCTGATCCTTCCCCAATAACTAAATCTAAAGAACCCTAATCCCTAAAAGGTCAGCAACGCACTCGTAACTCCTCCGCTGCGGGTGTCCATGGGCGGCGCTGAATATGCTCGTTTGGGGGAAATTCGTCAAATGACTTCTCCCACTTAAGGTGGGGCGAAAGGGAGTGCCAGAGACTGACTGAAACCACACCAGGCTCTGAATAGAAGACAAAAATTCTTCTGTTCCAAGCTAGGGCGCGATACATCATCCTTTGGTTTTATGAGGCGTATGAACGGGTTTGGTTCTGGTCGGGCTGTCAGTCTATTTCATATTCCTATATTGACTGGGAGACAATGAGACCATATGGCATGAAGTCCGCCTTTTATATTTTAATCATCATGATGTTTTCATTAAAATTAAATATAACAATTAATAAATAACCAAAACCATTTTGGCATGGTATCAAAAACTGTGTCTTAATCTTATGTTCATATTACACGACTAATTTATTAATTTACATAATTTAGGACGAAGGGCGACACAAATTAGGTCCCTTGATACCTCATGGGGTGTAATTGAGGATAGTGGAGCTCTCAAAGGACACATCGCTGAAGAAACTTCACATAATTTCGTCTTTTGATGCCTTGAGTTTCGTGTTAGGTATGTGGGGGATTTTGGTATACAGTATGGTTTGGTATATATATACCAGACCATATATACTGTAGAGAGTATATACTGTATATATATATATATATATATGGTTGTTTCTATATATATATATATATATATATATATATAGAAACAACCATAGAAATATATGTATATATATATATATATATATATATTTCTTATGTATATATTTCTTTTGGTAGTAAGCCTAATAATTGATTATTTTTATAATAGGGAAGCTGGTAGTACTGTCACAATGAGACCAATGATGTGAGTTTCAGTTGTCACTTAATTCAGGATGTGTGTAAGTCATTATCTTATACAGTCTTCTCGTTTGCCTCCTAATCCATTATAAACTCCTTTGCTGTATAGGAGCCCTCATAAATATTTATTTTGTTTTTATTGAGTATTTGTTATTATAGTGGCAATAAAATTATATCAACTGCTAAAATTTCAACTACCTAGTTATCCTGATACATAAGATACAGCCTGATTACAGTTAGCAGGACGAACAGTGTTCTTTACAGTCAGTCTTAGACACATACTAGTAGTATTAATAGCATTTCTGTTTTTGCCTTCTAGATATTTTTTTTCATGTAAACGATCGGCAAACGAGCAGACGGATTACCTGATGGTAAGCAATCAGCGCCGCCCATGGACACTCGCAACTGAGGAGTTACGAGTACGTTGCCGACCTTTTAGGGATTAGGGATTGAGGAGGGATTGAGAGAGGGCAAAGATTGGGCCTCCGGCAACCTCACTCACACGGCGAAACACAACGCTGTGGTTGTTTCACGCCGGTTTTCTCTGAGGCTGTGGTATCACTCCGGTCGAGCAGACCCATTCGTGTCAAAGCATGGCTCTCCCACACTTAGATATTGTTCTATTTCAGCATAGTTTTAACAAAACCAGAGTTTAGACCGTAAGCCTTATATAACTCATCAATAAGCCATTACATACTCGAATGGTAGGTAGATAGAGTAGGTAGGAGAAATGTGAAAAGTTTTATGGTGTAACTTCTCTACAGAGTTCAAACTCGACTGCGAAAGGTTTTTTACAACTTATTGGAAAAAGTATTCATTATTATTATCCCTTTTGGCTCACTTTGTTACAAGACTTTTAATCTTCGCTGATAACATCTTGTTTATGACTTGATACTGTTCTTGATTTCAGTACCAATTTATTCTTAAGTCTTTTGAAATAATACTGAGAATGTATGTGAGTACTCGTGGTGGCCCGGAGGTAAGGAGCCCGCTTCTTATGCATGAGGGTGTGGATTTAAAACCTGGCAAGTACCAATGTGACATTTTCCGAGTTATATGTACTTTCTATGATTATTAGACACCACCGACATACGGTGAATTTAAATATGGTGAGGAAACCTGGACTTATAATTTCTAATTATAAGTTTGAAATCGCCAACCCGCATTGAGCAAGCGTGGTGATTAATGCTCTAATCTTCTGCGTATGAGAAGAGGCCATTGCTCAGCAGTGGGCACTTATAGGCTGATGATGATGATCTAATCTTTTGAAATGTTTCGTTGGTTAATAATTGTGGATTGGTGAGTCTTATACATCTCGTTTCCCTGGCAACCGGCTTGAATCCAGGCTTGCATTGTGCTTTGCTGTATGAATGATGTAACTGGAGGAACAATATGTCCCCATCCCAATTCTCTTAAAAACATTCAGAATGTTTCACTCTAATTAATATTTTTACCATAAACAATTTCTTGTTAATATGTAGAATAAGAGAGATCAGAGAAATAAGTAAACAGTTTTTGAATAGTTTCTGGACCTTTTTTAATTCTATACTTATAACCTTTATATTCAAGGTCATACAATTGTAAAGTACACAACATGTTCCTTAATGAGTTATCCTTGTTGCCTTTTCTAGAAGTTTCCACCGTACTCAGGTATGCCCATGAGAGCCACTCTTTGAAACTACACTACTAGCGCCGCATGGTTAATTAAGCAATTCCATTTTCCACATCCATACATACTTTTCTCCAGTGTATTAACGAAACATGCATTTCTTATTAACATTAAGAAAGGGGAAACCAGTAAGAAAAGGTTTTATGCATAAGAATGTTATAAAACGTATGTGTTTTAAAAATGGAACTGAAAAATAAAATTTTAGCTAGTAGACCAATCCCATAATCGTGACTGTCAATAATTTCTGAGCAAGAAATTTTAAATTTTTACGATTGCCAGTGAGTACTATTTAAAACCAATTAGTATTTATCCTGTATCACACTAAGTGCATTGCAAGTGACTTAAAATTTAAAACTAGCACGTTCTCATTCCAAATCCCGGTGACAATCCAGTCTAGCATTTGACAAATAAATATGTATATTGTAATTAAAAAAACGGATATAATCGTTGCGACATACACCACATTCTTCAAAGGGAAACAGAAAGACGTAATGAAAATAACTGGCTTGCTATCTATGTAAGGGACGAAGAGAGAGACGTCATTTCACTTTTTCGTCTAGCATTTCGCAACGCGCGATAAAGCACTTTGTTCACAATAAATGCGAAAATATTGTTAAACATTGCGATAGTGGGAAATAATCCCAACAGGTAGGTGTGCTGAGGGCGTGTTGCGTGCCAGTTCGATGGTTCCAAGGTCAACCGATCGGTTACTGCTAAAGAGATGGGCACTCGTTTCTGAGTAAACATTACTTTGTATTCAATTAAACGTTTTGTTATTCACATTATAAATTACTAACTAATAGTCCATTCATTGCTAAAATGGAAAAAACGATACCTGTATATGTCTTCAGTTCTCCAAATATCTTTAGAAACAAAAAATATACCATTAAATGTCCAATATTGCAGCGTAAAAAAACTTCCTTTCACATTTTTTGTTAGGACAATCCCGCCACATCTTTCCAGAACCATGTTAGCCAGGTTATACAGTAGATACAACCACGAAAACACCGAAACGGTGAAGTCGGTGCGTCCAAGGGACATAATTCAAGATCTCGGATCCCACAACAAAGTAAAATAAAATGTGTGATATTACTAAGAATAATCTTCTTTACGTTGGAGAAATGTTCTGGGTGAGAAGTGAGGGGTCCAGATCACACTGTTACTGACTGATCCACCATGCTCTAATACCTGATCCAAATACCCCGCAACCCTAGTAAATGGTTGCTGCCTGGCTTAATTGGAAATATAATTATCTCCTGATGAGTTCACTTGACTTAATAATTACACGGTCTGTTGTATTTATCTACTAGCAAGTGGTAGGATGTAAGGATAACCTAAGGTAAGTATAGTATCGTTAGTGCGTTAATAATTTTTTTGTTTTACATGCACCAAAAACGATTTAATTTAACTAACAACTAAACTTATGAAAATGAACCATTAAACCAAAAACTACACTAGCGACCTCTACGCAAGCGAAATCGAATGATTTAAATTTAGAGTATCTTCAGGGACTTAGTAACGCAACACCTTTAATATTTCACTTGCCTTATGTTTATGACATCAACTTTACCCATCGTGTCAAAATATTTCAATAAATTTTCGACTCTAGAACAAAACGATAAAGTTCAAAGTTTATTAAAGAGATTTGACAGACTGTACACTGTGCTGTAACCTTGAGCCGGCGTGCGGTCGATCGAGACGCACCTTCAAACACTACACACGTACGAAATATTTACTGTCCTTGGAGGGTCGGGGTCGGTACTGGAAACAGTTTTTGCAACGTCACTGAAATGACGCCATCTTGGTTTACCTGGGAGAGTATATTTTGACTTAACAATGCTTAGAACAATTATTATTTGCACCGTTCAAAAGAAAATGTTTCTTATTAAATTCTAAATACATGTAATGGTATGAAGGTTGTATTTAATGATACCTGCTGCTCTTTGGTTTCCTAATTTTGTCATTTTTGGTATCGTCATCATCATGATCATTTTTATACTTTTTGTCTTTTTACTATTTCGTTCATTTGAGTCTGCTGAGTGAGTCACGACTGACTTTTAAGCTTTTCTTTCTTAAACAAAACTAAAACGAAATGGTGGTCTTCTCACACGGCGTAAGAATAAGCATTGATCACTATGCTTGCTGAAGGAGGGTTGTCGATTTCAATTTTATAATTAGAAATAACTCTTGAATTCCTCACAATAAATTTTTCATCTTATCCAGGTCAGTAGTGTCTTAATAATAAGTCAAGTAAAATATTACAATAATAAGATAATAGTATAATATAAATATAAAATCCGCAAGGCGGCTTGTGGCGGTGGGCAGTGGCGACCCCACAGATCTGACTCCCGGGAGCCGTCTTATTCCTCATCTCTGGTTAGTCCTCGTGACTATGTGGGATGAACACTGATGAGGAACAAGTCTTTCTGCCTCATTCACCCCTGGCTGTTTATCCGTATTTATCAATACTGGTCAGGGGCAGGGGCCATAGTATTTCCATTGTCATGTCTACTAGTCCATAGCAACCCATATGGCCATATTTTTTTACTATATTGCACAATAGTCCTTCACCAACTGGGGATTATCCTTGGGTGCACTTGCATAGTGCCTACAGGGATAATTGCCAGCTGATGTCCCATTTCACTATTATTAACGTGGTTGAAAGGGCCTCTGCAAGTGGGCCTCGTATGCCTTCCAAAGGTCCGGGAGCCTGTGGTCTCGCGAATGGAAACAAAACTACAATAGAAATAGAAAAATGTCATATACGTACTTGCCAGGTTTGAACACTCATACATGAGAAGTGGGTGCATTGACTTCTAAGTCACATCGACATTGGTGGCTTTTAAAGACAAATTTCTGCTTATACTTTGAACGAAATGAGGTACCTCAGCCTAAAGTAGGAGAAGGAACGGAAGGTAGTAAGAGACTATTACTCCCTCTCACCTCATCCGTGGCGAAAGAAGCCATTTGATGACTTTCCTCTAACAAAAAAAAAAACTCTCTATCGAAGAATTTCTTCACGATGTCTTTAACACTTAATCTATCGATAGTGACTTCTATTATTTTATTAAATATATTATTAATTGTTATGAGAAGGTAATGGGAAATAACATGTGGCTATGTTGTCACGTGGCTTTTTTCTCATGTACTAATGGGTGAAGGTTTTGTTTAAAACTCAATACCTACTCCTTTTTAGATTTAATCAATTTATAATGACCCAGCCACCGCCAGCAATGTTTCAAACAACTCTAGTTTTTTGAGCCTCTATGGGTAACTCTGATTGCTTGCGATCATGTATTGTGATCCGCCTTTTTTAAAGGACGTACCCAGCAAATGAGCAAGTGGTAAGCATTCGGCGGCACCCATGGATATCCACAACAACAGAAAAGTGAAGATTGCGTTGCCTACTTTTTAGGATTGGGTGTGGGGAAGGATTTTGCCTGTGAAACTAGTTGAAAAAGATTGACCATGGACTTTCTTGCTCGTTGATCTAAATTAGAATCTACACTTTGAAACGAGCAAAAGTAAAGTAAAAATATCAGTCTGTCGGTCCGTCATACTAGATCACTAGTACGACAGACTGATATTTTCATCTTTCATCGTTGCTAAACGTTCAAAAGTGCAAACGAGGGGACAGATTACTTGATGGTAAGCAATCGGTGCCACCTATAAACAAAACCAAAGGCTTATTGGGAATAAGGGTTTCGAATATTGAAGGATTGGGAAGGGATGGGGGAGGGGAAGGGTTGGGCCTCCGGTAACCTCACTCACTCATACGCTGTTGTTGTTTTACGTTTGCTTTTTGTGAGTATCACTCCTGTCGAACAGTCCCATTCGTCCCGAAGCATGGCTCTCCGAAACTTTAATATTTGACTATGATTTTATGACATTCTAGTCTGTCCGTTTTCCGTTTTATTTCATTAAAATTTGTGTGTTATTTCTAGTTTATTTTTACAATAACATCTGCCGCGCCTTCTTTCAGCGCTACTCGAGTACCAACCGCAAATTAATTAGGTAAAACTGATGAGTCATTCTCACGTGTACAGTCAACCATAATAACACAACAAAGGCTAACATTCTAGGAATAAATGACATACTACATACCTATATACAACAAAAGAAATATATGTACACTAGTATTAGGTTAATAAGTACTTTTTGAACACTAAATTGTATTTTGGAGACTTATTTTCATATCTATCTATACTAATATTATAAAGAGGTAAAGTTTGTACGTTTGTATGTAGGCGGTAATCATTGGAACCGCTGGTCGGATTGCCAAAATTCTTTCACTGATAGATAGCTACAATGTACGCTACAATAAAATGGAGCCGAGCAACCGGTGAAACCACGCGAGAGTAGCTAGTAGAAGATATTTTAGTTTGTTAGTTTCATAGTTTTACATAAAATACTTTTTAAAGTCGAGAATCATTGGAGTTACGTTGATTTTTAAGAAAAGGTTTGGGTGAATTATGCTTCGGAACGATAAGTCAACTTATCCGGAGTGATACTACAGTCGCAGAGAAAACAGGGCGTGAAGCAACACTTACGTTGTGTGAGTGAGGTTACCGGAGGCCCAATTCTCCCCATCCTCATTCGGCAATCATTAAATCCCCTTTTTTACAATCCCTTATAACCCACAAGAGTCCAGCAACGCACTTGTAGTTGTTTAACGCCGGTTTTCTGTTAGGCCGTGGTATAGCTCCGGTCGAGCCGACCCATTCGTGCCGAAGCATGGCTCTCCCACACTTAAAAACATACGAAGATGTAGGTAGGTACATAAAACCTGCCGCTGGAATACTAGTTTCCTTTTAAATTAATTCTAGAACATACCTATGTATATTTATAAAAGAGTTTTTATCTTATCATCACATTAACTGGATAAACAGCAATTCATACAATTTCTTTAATAAGGCGCTTTTGATTGAAGTACAATGCATCCAATGATTCTATTTGATGACTCTTTGTTTGCGTAGCGTATAATGAAATGATCCACTGTGAGGAGACTGTATTCTAAAAGTCATTGTTAGGTGCGTTACACATGACAAGTCAAGCATATATTCCCACACCGAGTTGACCCTCAAACCTTCAAGAAGCATACTTCTTTTCAAGCCGACAACTCATTTGTGACTCCTTTGCTGTTCCGTGTCCGATCAATTCCCTTCAGGTGACCTTTTCTGTTCGTTTAGCTCCAATTCTATAATATAAACATCGTATTTTATAATCATTACGTAGATTAATAGGCCAACCTTCTCCAACTTGTTCGTTTTTCATTAGATTGCGACTATATCGAAAATAGTAAAGAAGTAAAGAATTTGGATTGTATTATATATAATATTGTAGCCGTTGCTTGATAAAATCACCTTAACAGATTTCCTTTTCTTTCCTTTTTCTAACAGCCCTTTAACAAAATACTATGCCTATAAGACATAAATTCACATATACGTCACACTTTGACCTGAGACAACTATTTGTAGATCACTCCACACATCAGGAATCGAAACCGCAACACCTTGCACAGCCGCCGGCTGCCAATCCACTTTGCCAACCATGTAGTCATTTGGATCAATTGTCTTATCTATAAAATTTACCTCTTCCTCATCTAATTAAACTATTCTTGAGTAATTATTTGCTACTAGTGAGAAAACAAAATATAATGCAACTCCAGTGTGCATAAGCCTTTTATCATGAAGACTGGTTATTATTTAAGTCAGTATTTTGTTGTAAGAAGGCATACTATTTCAATAGTCGTTACGATAGTGTCAACGTTCTCATTCACAATGCAAGTTGAAATACGTCCTGAAAATTACAAAATCAAAAATCAATACATATGCCCGAATAAAATCTCAAATAAAGTTGACCAGTGCATCAAAAACATAGTGAACAACAATGGCTTTGTGAAATACAATATTGAAAAAAAAGCATTCAGTACAAATGGAGGGAATTATCTAGGATTACTATACGAAGTCGATGTTAATGGATACACAAAAGAAGGCAAGAAAGAACTAAATATATTCGTCAAAAGCATCCTCACAGGTCACAGTGATTTGGAAATAATATCTGTACATGACGTTTACAAAACAGAAATGTTCGCTTACAAAGTACTCCTCAAGTTAATCGATGAACTACAAGAAGATGCACATGTACCAATAAAGGAAAGATACAAAATGGTGAAAATTTATGAAGAGAGTGATTCAGAAGTAATTATAATGGAGAATGTGGCAAAAAAAGGATTCCGTACCGGACATAGGATGGATGTTCCATCTTTACAGTTTGCAGAAATGGCTATCAAAGAACTTGCTAAACTCCATTCGTTTGCTTTCGTGCTAAAAGTTAAACGACCAGACTTTTTTGAGGAACAAGTTAAAACTAGGAAACCTCCGTACAATGCTGGTGAACAATGGCTAGGTCTCACGCAGAACATGATTAAGTTAGTAATGGATAACATAGATGATGGATACCAGGAAAAGGTTGCAAAGTTTTGTGAAAATATTAGTGAGCGATTCAAGAGTTATTATGAAGTTGAATATATACGGCGATGTTTGTGCCATGGCGATTACAGGCCAAACAATATACTGACTAAAATAGTTGTAAGTACAACTGTTATTTTGATTACATAAAATTTATCGTGTATGGTTCACTTTTTTGGTGGGTTCATTGTTACTTTATACTTAATTTCTGATTTCAAAAATATTATTTCCTTTGACTATGGTTTTGCCTTTTGTTTTTGATACCGTCTGAATGCTACCAAGGTAAATAATAACAGTAGGTAATGCATCAACCGGGGATTGTCCTTGGGTTCACTTTCATAGTGCATACAGGGATAATTGCCGGCTGATGTCCCATTTCACTTATATTAAAGTTGTTCAAAGGGCCTCTGCGAGTTGGCTTCGGCCCCTCGTACGCCTTCCAAAAGTCCGGGACCCTGTGGTCCTGTGAGTGGAAAGGAACACAGTAGGTAATATATGATGAGATGTTTATTAGACATAACGTAATTAATATAAATTTTTTACTTATATAGAATTCAATTCATAAGCATATGCATTTTGTTAGCAGTATTGTATATTACTAAATTGAGAATATGTTATGGTGAAATTATTATAATACTTTGCTCTCATATCATTAATAAAACAGGCCGGTGTAGTCAATCTAGATTGGAAAAATCAAAAAAATCTGATAGGTTTATTAATAATCTAATTTTGTCAACAGGACGGAGAGATATCGGAGTTAATAACAGTGGACTATCAAATGATGCACTATGGATGTCCGATTATAGACTTCTTATATTTTATCATGGTCTGCACCGACAGACCTTTCCGTAAACATTATTTGTTACACTTGAAGAATGTATACCACACGACGATGACACGATTTTTGAAATATTTTGACCTGGACGTCAACAATTTTTATTCAAGAGATGATTTTGAAGAAGACTACAAAAGTAAATTAGATTATGGACTTGTATTTTCTCTTATATTTCTCCCTTTCATGTTTGCTTCTGAAGATGATGTTCCCGATTTGACAAAAGACGATATGGCTAATTTAAAAATTAATGTTGATAAAAGGTACAAGAGTAGGATTCAAGGAATTATCGAGGATTACATCGAGTGGGGCATCATTTAAATTATTCTGTAACTACTATAATAATATGTTATTACTTTCTATTGTCTTCATAAGTAATTAATGTCTTTATATATTTCACTTGTTTTGTTAATCGAATGGGTCTAGGGCGCAAAAATTGTTCTTTGTTGTTTTCCATAAATCATCAAATATAATCACGTGTGTGGTTCGATTGTCTTTCATTTTAATTTAAAATTAAAATTAAACGTCGTCATTTCGAATGCAGTACTTATTATTTTACTGTTTTTTATTAAGTTGCTGCATAAATGTACAAAGTCAAAAATACGTTATATTTTCATTGACCATTAGATGCAATTTATGTATAGTGTATGCTATCTATTATAGTGTCAATACAAAAGTTATTTCATCAAACCACACGACTGCGTAACAGGCTTGATAACAACCGATCGCTGCCGAGTCAAAAGCCGAACATTTCCGAACCAAAAATCGAGTATTTCCGAAGACTAACGAATGAGATCGGAATACATTCCATCACATGTCTCGATCACAGTTTTGCTTATTCTCATTCGGTATTAATAAGTGAATGCAGTGTCTTGGCTATTTTTAGTTATTTAATTTGCGTTTGGTATTAGCAGTGATTGTTATTTTGTTTTGTTTTAACATATTTTATCTTGATATTATCTTGTTACCTAGTGTGATAAAGATTTTGTCGGACAGGAGAGATAAGTTTTATATTTTTTTGTCGTTCTTTAATATGACAGAAAAACAAAATACTCAATTAGGTGAGAATGTGGATACTTTACCACATAGTTTACAAAAAAATATCGAGAGTATCGCAAAGAACGAAGGATTTATAACTTACGAGATTACAAGTAAAAATTTGTCAACTAAAGGTGGCAGTTACATGGGTATTCTATACGAAGTATATGTACAAGGAAAAACTAATAAAGGCGATAAAGAAACAAACATATTTGTTAAAAATATTGTCACTGACGAACAAATGAAGATATATTCCGTGACAGACGTATTCGCAAAAGAAGCATTTGTTTATATTGAACTTTCGAAAATATTCACAGAATTACAAGTTGAAGCAAATATTCCAAATGAAGAAAGATTCCAAATGGCTAAATGTTATGACGAATGTAATCCAAAATCAATCATTTTGGAGCATTTGGGTAAGAAAGGTTTCAGAGTATATGACAGAATGGAAATAATTCCTTTTGATTACGCCAATATGTGTGTCCAACAGCTTGGTAAGCTCCATGGTCTTTCAATGGTTCTTCAAGAAAGAAGACCGGATTATTTTAATAAGCATATCGCAACTATGAAGCAACCTTTTAATTTTGAAGAAGATTGGTATGGATTTGTGAACAATATGTATAACTATTCAATAAATTGTTTAGATCCTGATGTTAAGGCAAAATTTGGACAAAAGATTATGGAAAAAGTAAATGATTATCCTAAATATATGAGTGATACGTCTGGTTTTTGCACTTTCTGCCACGGGGATTTTAAACATAACAACGTTATGGTGAAGGAAGTTGTGAGTATTTTGAAAAAAATTTGGCTTATCGTTTCTTATTATTACAATACAAACTAATGTTATAAATGCGAAAGTAACTCTGTCTGTCTGTCTTTTCTTCACGCCTACACTACAGAACCAATTTCTGTGAAATTTGGTACAGACATAGTTTAGAACTCGAGAAAGGACAGTTAGGATAGTTTTTATAGCAAAAATCTGCAGGAAGTCACTATTCCATGCGAATGGAGTCGCGGACAAAAGCTAGTATAAAAATAAATAACAACACAAGTTGAACAATTAAGATATATGGGTTTCATTGTGAATTTTATAGCACTTACATTACTTTCAGGATGGAATGCCTAAAGAAGTAATAACCGTCGATTTCCAAATATCCCACTATGGATGTCCCATTTTGGATTTTCTTTACTTCATTTTCAACGGCACCGATCAAGAATTTAGAGATAAACACTTGTCGAAACTAAAGGATTTATACTACGAAAGTATGAGAAACTTACTGGAAAATTTTGGAATGAACATTAGTAAGATCTTTCCCAGAATGGAATTCGAAAGAGTTTATAAGGAAAAGTTGGATTTTGGATTGATGATAAATGTGTTTTATGTACCGTTTCTATTTGCTGCAGCTGATGAGGCTCCTGATGTGGCCAACGAATCGCTGTCGGATTTGTCTTTCAAGGTCGATAGTAGATTCACTCAGAGGTTTCGTGGTGTAGTCGATGATTTCATAAAATGGGGGTACTTGTAATCAGCGAGATTGAAACTTTTAGGTTATTAAATGACTTTGTGTGCATTGTTTGTTTTCTTTGACCACATACCCAGGATGTAAGTACATAAGCATCGCGTAATAAGTTATGCACATACTTTTATTATATAATATATCTGTATGGCGAATTCTATTCCCACACGGACCAACTCTATGTGTGATTCATTAATAGTTGTTCCAGGCTTGAGTTCCGCAACACAGGAAAAAGCCCTGGAATTATTCTCGAAATGATGATGAAGGTGGCCAGTTGGCTTTGTAGTTGGCATAGAAGCAAATGAACAAATGTTTCTAAGAAGTCTTTAATATAAACTGATCTATTAAATAATAAACCTACCACAGATTAGATGAATCCAAACACAAAACGTGACCTTTCACTCCCATAAAAAATGGAGGAAATGTAAATGTGAAAGCTTTCTTACTAATTTAATACTCTCCCGCCCTTTAAACAGATTTTCATGGAAAATAAAAACATTATTCTGGAATAAGGCAATGTAAACTGAGATAATTTAATGATCTTGTGTGCGTTGTGTTTTTCTATTACATTCGACCCCTTAGGGATAAGCGAGGTTTAACGAATGGCTTACTCACCGCCTTGAAGCGCATGCGTGCAAACTTTAATATGAACTATTGCTATTTGAATATTACTAGGCGTCTCTTGACTTCAAATATTTTCTTCAATAACTATTGTACACTAACGGGGAGATTTTAAGTTCAATACTCAGGTCGAGGATAACATTCGTATTTTATACATTAATAGCTTCATTTAGGACTGGATTCACATCCAGGATTTTTGAGCGAGGTTGACAATACCTACCTACATGTAATTTAAGTGTGGGAGAGCCATGCTTCGGCACGAATGTGTTGGCTCGACCGGAATGACACCACGGCCTCACAGAAAACCGGCATGGAACAACCACAGCGTTGTGTTTCACCGTGTGCGTGAGGTTACCGGAGGCCACATCCTTCCCCTCCCCCAATCCCTCCTCATTCCCAAAATCTCCAAATCCCCAAAAGGTCGGCAACACACTCGTAACTCCTATGTTGTTGCGGTGACTGCTTACCATCAGGTAATTCGTCTACTCGTTAGCCACCCTATAACATAAAATAATTACAAAGCGAGCAATCCCACTTATTCTAGAAAATATGACCAAAAGAGGTTTCCAAACTAATTTCAGGATGAACATAATCACCTTACAATACACACAAATGGTTAAAGAAGAATTGCCGAAATTCCACGCGCTGTGTTTCGTTTCGGAATCAAAGCGACCAAAGTATTTTGAAAGGAAAATAAAAACAATTAAAGCGACATTAAGTTCCGACGAAAATTGGGATGGTTTCCTACAAAACATCTTCTAAATTGCGTTAAATTATTTGGACGAAAATAGTAAGAGATATTTGGAGACTAGACGACTAAGCTTACGTCACGGCGACCATCGACCAAACAATTATTCTGGTGAAAGAAATCCAAACTAATATTATAAATGCGAAAGCAACTCTGTCTGTTTGTATTTCGCCGTGTGCGCGTCACTTCGGGTTCCGTGGTATAACTCCGGTCGAGCCAACGCATTCGTGTCCGAAGTTATGTATCTATCTTCACGTATTGTACGTGATGGTATGACCATTTCTGGACGTAAGCCTCCCCAATTGCATGCCACTGACCTCGATGTTCAATCTCTTCTCATCCAACCACTGCCAGCCACCCTGCGGATGTCGTCAGTCCACCTAGCCACCTAGCCATACACTACGTTTGCCTAGACGTGGTCTCCACTCTAGAACACGTTTACCCCAACGTGATAATTATATCATCTTTAATGTTAATTAAAATTTGTAGTTCTTCTTCATCATCCAGAATGTTTTTCGTGTTAATTCTATTTCTTTCTACTTCCATAGTTTGCGTTTGTTTGCAGTTAGTAAAGGGATGTGCATTAAATTGTTTTCTCTTGTCTTAAATAATAATATGATGCTAATAATGATTTATTTGTTTAACAAATAAGACCTGAATTTAATACTAGAAGTACCGTTTACAACATCGTTGGCGAGTATTTATACACATTACTTTATCAGCTACTGTTTCGGTTGATGGTTCGGTGTATTTTGAATTAAGTTTAATGCAGACTGGCAATGTTTATGATGTTGACTGTACCCACATGTTATCAGACTTAATATATTTACAAGTATTAACATTATGTACAAATGTACGTGTGTCAACCGTATTTTGCAAAGAAATCTCAAACTATTATTATGTATTACGCAATCTATGCTTCAAATATTTGACTTTCAGATAGGATGATAAACAGTATTTATATTGTTTTGTTGTTGAGTTGTTCATACATAATTTGTATCGTAATAGGTATATTTCCCGTACCAATTTTTCGGTGATTTCCTACTTGACCCAAAGGTTGACCGGTAGAGAATTTCAACTTCATTTCATTGTGTACAATAAATATATTTTTTAATTCTCTATAAGGTTTTAGAAGATATTGTTTACCTCATTCGTTTATTACAAGCTCAATAACTTGCTAAAAATATTTAACTCAGGGCAGAAAAAGGAACAGGGTGGGTTTGAGCTAGTTCGAGTCTGACACTTCGTCTCGCTTCTTCCACCCAAGGCAGGAGAAGCGAATTCATGATTTTCCCTTTTCAGAAAACACCCGGCACCTGCGACCACTTCACCAATGACGCAGTTACGAGAAGCGCTTAATTTTACATTACTCAAATTAGGAATAGAACTCAGTTTAAACAGCATGCAATTGCTCAGCCACTTTGC